GGTATTGCATACATTGAATTATTCTTACTTCTTTATGATTAAAGAAGTCACCTGATAAAAATTATTAATTGTTCGTTTCAATAGTACCTGGTAGACCATGGCAAACGTGTGGTATGATGGAGTACACAAGATTTTGCCACAACCTATTACCGAGCTTACAACCCAATCCAAAAGAAAGAAACTTACAATATTCATAAATATGCATACATAGGTAAAGGCAGGAATGAGTTCTTTATTGAGGATTATAAACTAGGGAAAATTGGAGCAGTGATCCAAACTTTTGAGCTTTTTATAGACTTTATCTTAACCTTCAATGTATGCCACTGTCAATTCGAAACCTTTGAAAAATTAGCACTTCTCATCCATTTGGACGTTGGTTGACCAAGAAAAAGTGTTTTGACCAAATTTAAAAAGGACAAAATGGTAAATTCATAATCATTCCATGTAAAATAATTAAAACAATTTTCAAAAATAAATAAATAAAAATGAGAATGACACTGTTCATCTTCCCCAACCACTCCCACTCCCACTGCACCTCAAACCAACCCAACCCACTAAATCAAATCCCAATCGACTTGCCCTAGCCATCTGAGCTAATTCTCACATAATTCATCTTGAAAAATGATAATATATTGATAGGACTTCACATTCTAGATATGGTATGACAAATCTTCAAATTTTTTCTAAGTCGAGAAAGCTTTTTTACCATTTACTCGACTATTCCATTTGAGCTAATGATTATGAAAGTCTACTTCCTCAATATTTTTTGGTTTTTCTCCAGATTTGGTGGATAGAAGATGGCAGAACCCTTTGTAAATTTTTGGCCTCTATTTCAACGCCTGTTGTTCATTGTTTTTTTTGGGAAATATAAGAAAAAATGGTAGCAATATCTCGAGAGAAGTGTAAGTTGCCTCCGAGAGGAAGAGGCCAATCGATTATTAGCGATAGTATCGGTTGGGTTAATGGAAGGGGTTTGGAGTGGGAGTGGGAGTGGGGGTGGGTTTGGGAAGATGAACCATTCCTCTCATTTTTATTTATTTATTTTGAAATTTGTTTTAATTATTTTATGTGCAATAATTATGAATTTACCATTTTCTCCTTTTTTAAATTTGGTCAAAACACTTTTTCTTGGTCAACTGACGTCCAAGTTGGATCCCAAGTGCTAATTTTTCAAAAGTTTGGGACTGAAAGTGGCATAAATTTAAGGTTAAGGTAAAGTCTGCGAAAAACTCAAAGGTTTGGGATTGTTGTTGCAATTTTCCATATAAATTATAATTCTATTCTATCGAGAGCAATTAATTCGAAGAAAGAAAAATAAACACTCAAAAATAAGCAAATTTTATAGAAGTTTGTCTCAATATGAGACTACATATTGAAGGTTAAGGTAAAGTCTGCAAAAAACTCAAAAGTTTTGGATCGTTGTTGCAATTTTCCCTATAAGTTATAATTCTATTCTATCGAGAGCAATTAATTCGAAGAAAGAAAAATAAACACTCAAAAATAAGCAAATTTTATAGAAGTTTGTCTCAATATGAGACTACATACTCTATCGTCGCTACAGTAATTTACTACGATGAAAAAGGTTTATAAGAGAAAATTGCACTCCTATCTCTTTTAGTCTTTTTATCTCTCTCTCTCTCTTTGGTAATAAAAAAGCTTAAGGGCAACTCCCTATTTATAAAATAAATTAAGGCATAATCGAGTTTTACAAGAAGTCAAATTCCTTAATAAAATTTTACAAGAATACGAATTTTTAAACCGTTCTTAATGAAAATTTGATCTCGCCACCCGGAGTTCGGCCTCTCATCTAACCCCCCCCCCC